ATTTGCACGTCAAATTTGTGAGACATGGTGAACAACAAAGAATATTTAGTGAAGTGATCCACAAATAGTATATAATTTGGAAAAAACCATCAATAGATCGAATTGGAAATGGTCCCCAACCATAGGCATAGAGCAAATCTAAAGGGCTTCAACTTTGCAAACTATAAGTGCCAAACGGCAGTTTATGACTTTTATTGCACTAACACGAGTCATAAAAGAAAAAAAAAGAAAAAATTAGATTGAATAGGTAATTTTTTAGATGATATAATGCGATTGAGATGGATGACCAACAATGATAGCAACACCATAGCATGCTTCCTTTATTTATGGCTGAGAGTTTTTGATGGTAGTCCACTCATGGACATTATTCCTGTTCACTCTTTTGGTGAGAGTTGCCTTTTGGTGGCTAAATTGTTCACACAAAAAGAGTTGGGGTCCAATTCAATAAAAGCATTATTGTTCTTACAAAACTGACAAACGAAAATAAGGTTCTATTTCATAGTAGGCATACATAAAACATTTGATAGATTGAAAGAGTGAAATGTAGATTAAAGTGTGGAATGTTGGTCTTAAAGAGCGAATTAGAGGGGGTGAATAATATTTTTTAAATATCACTAAACTTAACTTTTAATTAAAAGCTTGCTAAAGGTAGATGATGAAAAATTAAAGACCAGATAAAAGAATGATTTAAGAAGAATGAAATAAAGAAATAAAAAATAGTAGACAATGCACAAAGATTTATAGTGGTTTGGTCTCTTTAACTTGCAGTCACTACCATGATCTTCCAATCAAAAATTTTCAAATCAATTCACTAGAATTAATAGATTTCCCAAACATCCACCAAGCTTTTACAATGATTTTTCACAAGCTCAGCCACAACCTTTCAACAATGATTTTTCACGAAGATCAACAAAACTCAAAATTTAACTTTTCTAAGGCTGAGTTAGAACCTATAATAACAACCAAGCTAACCTAAGCTTGATCAATCCTTTTAGAGTGCCTCGGACACTCTAAGTTATGAAGGAATGTAGATTTGAAGGTGTATATATAATCATTGAGCTGATCTGAAGGGTACAAGATGAAGTGCTAAAAACTATTACAAAGATTAGAGTGGAACACAAGAAGAATTAGGAGGATTTTTGCTATTTTTAGGCTTTTTTTATTCTTAGAATCATCTCTTAATCTTCTTAGCCGTTAGAGATATTTTTTATACTTGAAAAATCAACTCTAATAGATGTTGACAGCTTCAGACCGTTGGAAACAATTTAAAATCCTTTCTAGCCATTTGTTTGTCTTCAAATACTCAAATTTAAATTGTCTGATAGTAAGTTTTTAGTTGGCTAATCATATTTTTGAGTCCATTAATACTTCTCTATCTCGTAGTCTGCGTCACTCTGTTAATCGGTTAAGAAAGATTTTAACCGATTAAGAGCTCACTGTCTTTGGAGTAACCAACTTCACTTTTGAATTTTAGCTGACTAACTCCCTTGGTTAACTGGCTAAAAGACTTCTGTTTGTAACTCATTTTGTAACTTTTTATTCTGATGAGTTTTGATGTTTGTTTCCAAATGATTATTCTACTAAGTGACATACATTTTTATCCTGCATACTCAAGTAATATAATTAGTCATTAGTGAATGGGAATGTTTTGTTATCATCAAAAACTCATGGAGTCAAAAGAATGCCTAATATGTGTGATACACAAACCTAAACCGTCACCAATGATGATACCATTAAGACCATTATAGGGTTAATGATTAGAAAGATTGTTCATGTTGGAAGTAACATGATGAAAGGCCCTTGTATCGAAAAGCCATTTTAAGGATTTGCTGGTGTTATGGCTAATGGTAGTCGGAGTTGCCTTAAGAGGAACAGGAATACCCAGCAAGAGCTTAAGGGTGTGGCAATCTTTGTCTACATGGCCTTTTTTGTCACAGTATTGATAAAAGAAATTTTGTTTGGAGTTGTTATTGCTTGTGTAGCCACTACCTTGTTTAGGATTTCCATTTAAGCATTGGTTTGTATATTAGTTGAACCGAGATTGTGAGTGCTGATCATTGGATTAGTTGTTGTATCATGAATGGGAGGACTTGTTATGATTGTACTGAGTAGTATTTGCAGTGAAACCACTTGTATGTTTGGCCTATTTTTGTGAAAGAAAGGACTTGTATTCAATAAGTTTATAGTGGAGTTCCTCAAGGTTGATTAATGTGTTACAAGCTAGAATAGCAGCAGCTATTTCCTTATATTCAGATCCCGCTCCATTTAAGACATGGAAGATCATATTAGTGTTGGGAACAACCGATCCAACAAAGGCGAGTTCATCGGTTAGTGAGCGAATTTTCCCAATATACTCTGAAATCATCATGGTTCCTTTAGTGATGTTGGCTAACTGATCCGTGAGACCCATGATGCGAGAGGTTAAGGCACTTGTCAGTGCAGTAGAGAGATGATCCCAAGCGTCTTTGGACATTTTAGTAGAGCTTGTCATTGGAATGATGCGTTCAGTGAGTGAAGTCATGATTCCTATTTTAAGGAGTTGATCTTGGGTTTTGGTGCCAATGGAGGTGGTTAGGATTTGAGACTATTTTACCATCAACAATCTTTTCCTTGGGAGGACATGGTAGTATGTGAAAGTTTTATCGGTAATAGTAAGGCATTGATAGTTATCCGGCCTTCTAAGAGAAAGGAGCTTGTTGCTAGGATACGGTTTGTGAAATTGGAGCTAGCTTTTGACATGGCCTACAGAAAAAGATCAAGGGACAGGATTGAAGAAGACTCGCTGGAGCTAGAGATGCTCCAATACCATATAAAGTCTGAGTAGGAATTGTCAAATCAATTATATTTCACAAAGATATGATTATATATATTTATACAAGGCGATACTGTCAAGAAAAGGAAAGCTTAGTATACAGCAATGAATGTTCATGATTGACAGAAAAAAACAAGGAAACAACTAATTTGATTCTCATGATGTCTGTAATTTGCATGATTTTTGTCTATTATAAGGATGGACTGTTAACTAGTGGATCCACCTTGCAACAGTTTGTAGGAAACTTCCTCTCTGATCTAAAATCAGTAATAAATAATTCCAAGTCAGCCCCTTTATAATATTCAAAGAAACCTAGTCCACAAAGAATTTGAAGAAACTACATACCTATAGGCAGCTTGAAGGCTTTGTCTTCTTCTATCTCAAGAAAGAAGATGCAGCCTCAAATATTTTCCTTCCTCTTCCTCTTCTTCATTGGATTTGCTTCTGCAGGTAAATTCAGCAACAACTTTTTCTCAACGTTCTAGTTCCCTTGTCATCTTGCCTAAGTGTAAGACATTCATCTTTATTCACAGGTTATCTTCAGAATCCGGATTTTGAATCCCAACCAAAGAGCCTGACTGAAAACACCAGCTCCCCTTTTGTTGCGCTGAATGAAAACAACACAATCCCAGGATGGACATTCCAAGGGACAGTTCAGTATGTAACAGCTGGTCAAACCATAGCTTTGCCAGATAATGGACATGCCATACAATTGGGTCAAGACGGCAAAATCAACCAGACTTTCACAGCCGATGCTGATTACACGAATTATATACTCACATTCACTCTAGCTCCAGGCGGCCAGAATTGTTCTGCCAATGCTGATGTACTAGTGTCAGGACCAGACAGTCAGGGGATCTTCTCTTTCAAGCAGCATTATGGCAAGGAAGCATGGCAGAGCTATGGGCAGCACTTGGGCCTCGGGGGTCAGCAAGAGCCCATCAACCTTGTCATTGAAAGCCGAGGAGTGGAGTCTGATGATAACTCCACTTGTTGGCCAGTGATTGACTCATTACTTATCAAAACAGTCGGAACACTCGTTCAAGGCAAAGGTAACTAGCAATGGTTCATATCATTCAATTGAAATCTTAATCCAAATGAGTAATCAGAAATATGACAACCTCAGCATGCTGAAGATTATTTCAATTATCTGCCCCAAACTACTTTTTTACTCGCTAATATGTTGCTTGTACTTTTTGGTTGGACGTAGATAACTTGCTGCTGAACGGAGGGTTTGAATTTGGCCCAGAATTTTTAAGCAAATCAACCGAAGGGATTCTACTTGATTCAGCATTAAGTCCTGTTCTGTCTCCATTAAGACAATGGGCAGTCATAGGAACAATCAAATACATAGACTCCAACCACTTCTTTGTGCCCCATGGCAATGCTGCAGTGGAGATTGTCTCAGGTGTTTCAGCTGGCATACAGACTGATGTAACACTCACAACAGGTTCTGCATATAGTTTGGAGTTCACACTAGGAGATGCCAACAATGCCTGTGAGGGCGATTTTATAGTAGAAGTTCGAGCTGGATCAGTAGTTCAGAATTTCACAGTGCAGAGCAATGGAACAGGATCAGCCCAGAAATCTTCCATGAAGTTTGAGGCAGGTTCGCGTGCAACGCGTATAAGTTTCTTCAGCTACACAAGTAGTCAGACAAAAGATGGCACCTTCTGCGGCCCTGTGGTTGATGAAGTAGTGTTGCTTTCCTCCAATGGCCTGAGACTGGCAATCAAGCCGAACATTTTGATTTCTCTGTTATTTCTCATACTCATTTTTTGGTAATGTGTTATTAAAAAAGGCATTTCTTTAACTAAGTAGTCGAGCCAGCCTTTTTGCTGGTTTCTGTTTTATCAAGTGAATTAGAACTTCAAGTAATTATTTTTCCATTAACACCAGATCGATCCCCATTGATATTATTATGAGGATTCAAGGTATATTTATTCAATCCTAGCCTACAATCTTGGCAGGCTGCTATTTCGAGAGTGCAGGAACCAGAACTTGGTATCTGCACCGGATGTGAAGAAGCTCACCTTCCTGGGTCGAGTAACCATTGTTTCTTTTCCAGGAATTCGGCACAACAACTTTGCAGCTGAAAGAGTGCCAAACCTCGTTGGTAACAGAAAATTTCCAGGGCAAACCATGGTTGAAAATTATCTATCAAGCAAGCATCATATTTACTACATGATTACAAAATTGCTACATTTGATTTACGCTGTTGAATAACAGTATACAGAATTCTGTTCCTTTGAGAATGAAGCATATGTTACAATAAATTCCCAAAAACTATTTCTTTTCCTTGCATAAATTTAAACTATCTTTAATTTCTATGCTTTATGGACAAATGTTTTACAGCAGCTATAGATGCTCTTTACAAATGCTTCCTCCATTTTCTGTGCTCTCTTCTGCCTGGCATATATCTTACATGAAATGTAATGGGAACCAAATCTTGCAAGGCAAAGTGGAAATCTGAAAAAATATCCCAAAGGAAATCCAGTTAATTAAGAATAACATAAGTTGTGATTTGCATGCATCCATTATTATAACATAATGTAACAAAATGAAATAAATACAAGTTAATAGCGATATGATAGTTTGGACACAATGTTGCAAGCCCCTTATTGTTCAGGAAAAATTAGACTGTACTGTTTCACGAGGAAAGAAAAAGATATGCATGGAAAAGTTTCCGAAAATCTGGAAATAACCATGCAACTCATACCTATTCAAGCTGTTTTAAACTATGACTCCAGGTCCAGAGCAATGCTAAACTTTTTCTACAACGCTCATCTGAGTTGAGCGTTTAAGAAGACTTCTGTATTCGAGACTTCTTGACCACTCATCAATCTCACGAGCACGTAGAACAGGCAGAGGATGTGAAAGTTGTCTCGTTTGAGCATTTCTGAACATCATTAGTTGATTAGACAACCCGAAGGAAAGTGCTAGCCAAGTTTTAATCGCTCTGCTCAAAACAATTCTCACCTTATATACCATCCAACTGGGCTCGAAGAAGCCTTATCATAAGAGCGAGCTTGATCCAAAAAGGCATCCACATTTAGCTGATCAGCCATAGATGGGCAGCCACCAGCTAATTTCATCAAAACAGAAATGACGACCTCTTGTAGGTGCATCACAACGAGAATCAGATATGAAATCATAACTATTTAATTGCAGATTATGTTAGCTCAGAGGTTAATTTTGCATACCTTGGGATCTTGTGCAACGAGAAGGGCTGCACGATCACAAGTTAGTTCTGCTGCTCGAAGCCAACGGAATAACTGTTCTTCTAAACCCCGAGCTATAAAGCCACCAAGTCCTGTGAATAAGAAAGGTATTCAAACCCATGTTGTGAATTAACTGCAGTGGAGTACTACTACTGATATATGCAACTAGACCTTTATTCATAACCAAAATCTAGGCTGTTTAAGCAAAACAATCATTTTGGAGGATAACAGTAGCAGATTGGAAACATTATTCCCAGTTACCGTCAAGAAAATCCTCCTGCTCATACTTGTGTTTTTTTCTCCCCAGTAAACTACTGCAAGAATACATGCCAGCAGCAAATGACCAGCAAAGCCCATACTTTTGCACACAGGCAGCATATATGTTACATCAACAATATATGAAGTTATCGTTAAAAGGTCAAGTGCAATGGATTTAAGCTAAGAATCACTTATCCTCCAAGTCCATAAGCTTGTCATGTTCTTGCATAAGACAATGTTTTCTCATACATATAATGTGCTCTAGTTGAACTATAAGTGTAGCAAAGTAGCTAAGTTGCCTCAACTGATTGAAGGAACCAAGCACATACCAGGTACAGTATACGCTCCAAGAGTGAGAAGATTTGCAAAGGTAAGCCACACACCATGATCGCATTTGAGATGACCCAACTCATGAGCCAAAACAGCCTATTTCAAATTAGCAGAGAAACAAAATTAATGGCATTTTATCATTTGAATCATAGCAATACTATGGAAAATAAAACACAAATAGTTTGATTTTGGCCTTTATAGTTACAGATATCAAAATGGAAACATAAGTAAAAGCAAAAAAAAAGTGAGAAACCAAATCAAACTAACAAAAAACAAGTAAGCAAATATCTTAAAGAAATAAAGCAGCAGTCAAGACAGAAGACACTAAAAGGGCCACAATAATTTTCAAGTTGATTCGCGACAGAGAAAAGAGGGAGACAAGTGAAGACCTGTAATTCCTTTCGTGAGAGAAGTTCCACAAGACTAGTATGAATGACAACAAATGGTTTTTTACCACTTATAGCCAATGTATAAGCATTCGGAACTGGGCTCTGACGAACATAGAGATCGGGAGCCTCAATATTCAATATCCCCGAGGCCTCAGCCATCATTTTATGAAGTTCCGGAAGCTGACAAATGAGAGAAAAAAGACAATAATTTGAAACAATTACATAGGATACGACCAGTAAAACAACTTCAAACAACAATTTCTGAACATCGAATAACCTGGTCTTTTGAAACACGAACCGAAGTCCCTATATTCTCAAGAAGCATAATTTGCTCTGTCATGGTTCCTGCTACAAAGCATTCAAAAAAAGCTTCTTTAACATTGAAAATTCACCAGAATTATACCAAAAAAGCTCTGGGTTTCGTCTTTGATCTCACGTCTTGTGTTTTTTTCTTCCAAAAGCAAATTTTAGATAGCAACAGATTCTGAAGAACTAATAAATAACTGACAAAATCCCATAATTTTGATTTTCAAATAAATAGCAAAAACAACAACGAACTTACCTAGTAAAGCCCTCCCTAGTTCGTTAAGCCCTGGAATCGCTCTCAGTAGCAGCGTATTCTGCAACCAAACAGAAATAAAATAAAAGAAATTCTCAACTAAAAATCATACGTATTAAAGGAAATTCATTAAGTTCGCGACAGAAACCGGACCTGCTTATCGAGGGGATGCCGGAAATCATCAGCGTCGAGGTCGCGAAACACGAGAGGAGAAGCTCTGGAGTAAACAGAAACCTTAATTCTTCCATTTCTCTTCTCGGCCGATCCAAATCCGACCGATAATGGACCAGCGGACCTGGAACCCGTCGGAGCTCCGAAGCTGAAACGGAACGAGGAAGTAAGGAAACAAGGCTTTCGAGAAGGGCAGAAACAGAAAGAAGAGAGAACCAGAGAAGCCATTGGTTTCTCGACGCACGCCAAGAGAATGACAAAAGCTTAGCGTTAAGTAAGAGGTTTAAATTCTTTTGATTAATGATTAGTTTTTTTCTCTCTCTTTTTTTAGTGAATTTTTCGAAGATATTTTTTTGTTGTTTCACGGTAACCATTTGGCGCCACTTCGTTTTCTTCCGGCCGTTGACTGTTTAGGTTTTTTCGTAGTTTCAAACTAAATCCAGTGGTAAATCTGGTAAAACACTTCGGTTGTCTCAAACTCTTACTACGTCGTCGTTTTTGACGGCAAAGGAAAACAAAAATATTATAAAAATCCCATCTTTCTTCTTCTTCTTCTTCTTCTTCACCTTACTCTGGCTGTTTCGAAGTTGAAAATTTTCTGCAATTTCCTCGCCATTGGTTTCTTTTTGGAGAGCTCTAACATCATGTAAGAATCTTAATTTTATTTAAATTTAAACAAAATCTTAATCAAAATCGAACCTTTAAAATTAAAAATTCTTTTCTTTCTCCTGAACAGGAAACATTCAGTAAATCGACCACCGACCCCAGATGCTGCAGATGATCGAGGGAAAGAACCCACCCTTCAAGAAATTATTAACATCAAGGTTTTTTTTATTAAACTCTTTTTGGGTTTTTTTATTTGCTTATATCTGATTTGATGGAATTTGGCAGTTAATTGAGAGTGGGGAAAAAGAGAGGTTGATGGAGCTGTTAAGAGAAAGGCTTATGGAATGTGGATGGAAGGATGAGATGAAAGCCCTTTGCAGGTTTTCAATTTTCACCACTCTAATATTCAGTGTCAACTTCTTGTTTTAACTGCCTCACTTCATACTCTTTGTACGTATTCATAATTAATCTTCTTTCTTGTTGTTTAATGAATCTTTTTTGTGTTAGCTGTAAATAATCCGAGAGTTAGCATTCATAGTGTCTGAAAATGGAAAGATTGTGGAACATTCCTCATAGATAAGGAAAGTAGAGTCCTCTGAATTTAGTCTGTGTTGTGTCATAATACATTAAAAAACAGAATATTTCCAACCATGGATTAAATTAAGGGATTAATCAATAGGGATAAATTGGTCTGGGGTTCTTAGGTCTTCATTCTTGCTTCCTTGTGTTTTGTATAGATATAGTAGTAGATAGACTTGGAGACAGATCTCTGTGCTATGTAGAAAATGTGAGAGATATGAAGCATTTGCTTGTCACTTTATGTTTTCTGTTACGGCAATGACTGAGATATGCTGAGGACAATGATGCATCTAATTGTAACTGACAATTTGTTGTAAAGACTGTTTATTGGAGATTTTGTCCATGTGAAACAATTATGTAATAAACTTTTTATGATAGTTATGAGAAGCTGTGTAACTCTTTCTCCAGCCTTTTGTTTTCCTCTGTCATCATTTTTCTTCTCAAGGACACACAAACAGGGAAATGAAGTGCCATGGATAGATAATTGTTCCACTGGAGCCTTATTTCTTTTCGGGATTACTTTTTTATCCCATAAGTTATTTGTTTCTTTCAGCGTTTAAGTTGCTTCCAGTGTATTTACTTTACTTTTATACTTCATGTTTGTGTGCAATCTTTCTGATGTTTAATAGAAATGTCTTTGACTTTGATGTCTGACAGGGCATATATTAAGAAGAAAGGAAGAAATAATGTCACTGTGGATGACCTTGTGCATCTAATCACACCCAAAGGCAGAGGTAAGAATCTATTTTACTTACTAATATTTTCCTTGTTATTACCAGTATCAATAGGTTGAAGCGATGGAAGTGGAGAAAATTAGTTCATACCGGAGAAATTGCAATGTTTTAATTTCCTTGGTTTTATTTTGGTATGCTCTTTTTCATTTTATGCTGTTCTGTAGTCCAAGCTGCTGGTTTCTAATAAAATGGATTCTGTTTGACTTACCTGCTTTTAAGCTCATGCCTTCTGTCACCTTTTATGTTTTTGGCATTTGGTTGCCCTATCAAGTCCATCACTGGTTAAATTCTTTGCTTATGCAGCTTCTATTCCTGACTCTGTAAAGGCTGAGCTATTGCAAAGAATTCGCTCTTTTCTCGTGTCCGCCACTCTTTGACCATCAGCATGCTTTGTTCATGTCAAAGAAGTGGGAATGTTATAGAGCTGTCACTAGATGGACTTCGATGGAAGCCTTGTTAGAGGTTTGGCTTGGTCAATAGGTCTTGGTGAATGGTTTAAGTCAGATGTTATTTACTTGAAATGACAGAATACCATTAAACGGATGGAATGTTTAGGGTTTTGCAGCAAGTTGGATGGAATATCATGTATTCATTCTTGATGCCAAGGGATCGGCAAGTTATAGATGTTTCCATTTGTCTGCTATGGTTTCTATTCCCTGTTACTGTCAGCTGCTACTTTTAAATGAAACCTTACGGCAAAGAAACTGTGCATTAGATTAACATTGTTGATTACTTAAGTGCTGTGATTGAAGCTAAGTTTATTATTCTTCTTCGTTGTGGGAGGCGGACCTTGTGATGATAAACAATGCATACTTTTTTCTTTTCGTATACTTCGTAAATTCATTGATGAGTATCCTTTTTATACACCTTTATCAAATCCCACTGAAGCTGGAGCTGTTGAATTAAGTTATTACTATACATATTGGCTTGTTCAATGAATTCATGGTAAGATTATTTTCCCGTTTCCTTGGGTGATTGATTTGAGTCTCCTAGTGAGCCTAGTGGCTGTTGCAGGAAAGGCATTTACATTGAAATCTTAACTAAGATTATATAGATATTATCTGTTGCTTGAACTTAAATCTATACTAGAAAGATGATGGGATTGTTAAAATTCCAATATGAATCATAATCTACATCCACAGAGATTTTGTCAGCAAGGAAATTGAAGAAAGATTATTTTGATATTGCATGCAATTAGGACTTGCACCAACAATTCACTTTCAAAATGAAACTGTCTCCTTCCAACAGTTTGGTCCCTTGGTGCAGATGGCTAGTCACTAGGAATTTTTAATGGTTTTTGTATGTTACTTTTGGATTGCCTATGAGGAATTCCACGCACCAGGTGACCCAGAGATTCAAAGTAGGGCAATAGCTGGCAGTTGCCTCTACCGGGTAGTTTAGAGATGTGTTTAAGGTGATAAATCAAGAATATGCAATACAATGTGATGGTAAACTAAGAAATTTCCAGATTCCAGAGCTACAAAAAGAAGACAGGAGAAAGCTATAGGCACAAAATAGACATCAAAGCCTTCATTTCTTGAGGAGTTCAACATTACACGTACTTGCCATTCTCTTTCACATCATGCAAGTCTATCTATAGGATTTTACTTCATAGAATATAACGCAAAAAGCTTACAAAGCATCTTCACAAGACACAAAATGCATTTATTCAGCTGGCTAATGCCATTTCCTGCTTTTTCTCAAGATGATTCACCAACTGGACTTACACCCACAGCTTGCGCTCTATGGTAAATCTCTTCAAAACAGGCAGCCAACATGCACCACAAACCCTACTACATTTGCACTCAGCTAACAGTTTGCTTATGGAGAGCCGGCTTGTTCACAAAGGTCTAATAGATCCAAAGTCTGCAAAAAATATGATATGAGACTCGTGAGCTTCAGATAAAAGAATTTGATTAAAAAAAAATTGACATGAAATAGGTGAATAGACAATTCGTTGCAGAGAACTCATTATTGTTTGCCATACCTCAGGGACTGAGAGCTCAAGACGAAACTTGGGACCATCATAGTGGTGCAGGACTGGCCTAAAAGCATCCTCTTCCAATGCCTTGCAGAGTTTCCTAATACGGATTCTCACCTATTTATCAAGGGGAAAAAAAAAGAAATAGAGTTAGTACAATCTTCCATGGAAACAAACAAGTGAAAATCCTACAAACTATAAATCCAAACTTTACCTGAGCAGGAAACCTTGACTCGCCTTTACACTTTTTGTCTTCCCAAGCAGTTGGATCAATGTTTGAACCCCCAAAACTTGCTGCCTGTACATATTAAAAAAAACACAAACATAAGAGAGGAAAAAAAATAAAGATGTTTAAATGATTATCACATCAATTTCTCAAGACAAATGAATTTGATACATAAATTAAGCCCGAATGCCTACTCAATACAGTATTACAAACTTCAAACATCCAAGGCTTTTTTTTTTCCTTTGGCACTGGGGTGGAGAGAGCAATCTCAACATAGAACCACATCCATCAAAAATTTAAATTGATGAACTTTAATGACTGTCACACAAAGCACTTGAAAACAAATAAAATACTCAATTTGTTAACTACTAAATCGTAATCTAGTGAAAGTGAGCCAAATGCAAACATTCAGAGAGAGAAAGGAACTCCTAAAGGCAGAAAGAAAAACCAATACTGCCTAATCAACCTACAACCTCAAGCATTCTAGAGGAAATGAAAGGGGTATTAAATGAGAATAAAGTTGGTGAACAAACCTCAAAAATACCATGCAACTGATGCGTAGTGTAGTTATAGAGAAACAGAGGTAAGCCAGGTGTGATTGCCCGGACAGAGTCCCTGTATCTTGGTGGTAAACCTATCAAATGAGATAACAGCAACATGTATGAGTCGCGCCTAATAATGTTGATAACAGAAATTTATGAAGTGATAATTACATCTTCAAATAGATGGAACGACCTCTTTCCAGGAGAAAGTGAAAATGGAGGGAAAAAAGTTGACATGAGAAAATGGCAATTACCAAATAGCTGGCGCTTTAAATCTTCCTGCATTGTATCATTGTTACAAACAAAGATGTATCCTCCAAGCACCTCATTTCTTGGGAGTGTCTCTGTTGCAGGCAAAGTCTTGAACCTTTTGTCAACCGCATTGTTCGCGTTGCTGTTCTCATTGCTGTTGTTATTGTTGGTGTTGCTGTTATTATTGACATCTTTGTTGCTCTGATTGTTGCCACTATATTTGTTGCCCGCCAGATTTCCAAGGCTATTGCTGTTATTTTTCTGGTAAACGGCATTCATATTGTAAATACTGTTTCGGAAGGAACTTTTGCTTGCATTATCTCCAATCTTGGAGTCCAGGTTCAACATGTTGAAGTTAAGGTTCTCAAATTTGTTGTCTTCCTGGAACCCAAATTTATCCCTTGTTCTTATTTCAGCTGGACCCTTCGAAAGATCCAGATTGTTCATGCGTTCACCCTTTATCCTTGTCTGTTCAGCCAGTTTAGAGGCAACCATCAACCATTTGTGATCCTCTGAGACTTTTGATTGTCCTCGAAGATCATCACCCAACTGCCAAAAGCTATTTATGCTCTCCATCTTGCAAATTCTAATAAGAGAGGTCAACAAAGAACTGTTAATTGCACAAGAAGACATAATAATACATCAAAGATTCAGCAACTCGTACAAATCCATATTTTGTAAAATCAAAACCACATCAAAACGAGAAAATGAAGGCAACAAGTCATCATTTGCCTTTGTTCAATTTTTACCTAGCTAACACACAGAAAAGATTGAGCAAAGCTTAAACAGTCAACATCGGGAACCCCATCAACCAAGATGCTTCAGTTTCTACCCAATAACAACAATAACCCAAAGAAATTCTTAAGAATTAAACCATTATTTGTTCTAACACACAGAAATCAAGGATTAACATAAAAACAGGCAAAACCTTGACAGTTCCCATTTCCTTCTCTTTCCCACCATTTAGTTAACACACAACAGAGCCCAGAAATCCTAAAACTTAAAGTCAACTCCACTTGACTCAAAGACAACCAACATTTCCACTAATCTGAACCCAACGCAGTACAGTTAATCCCAAAAAAATAAAACCCAGAAACATAGTCATCTCTACCAAAATACCCACAAAATCAAAATCATTAATAACAATAAAATGTATGGCACTTCACAAAGAACTAAACAAAGAGATGCAGAATTTACCAACGAAGCAAAGTACAGCTTCAAGTTTTAGCCTTAATAAGGATTGATTCAAAGGATTTAGAAGCTAATTTTGATGGATAGATAAGAACCCTAGATTTGGGGATCCAAAAGAGGAAAACAGAGAGAGAAAGAGAGTACCTTTATCTTTTTATCTTTGCTAGCTGTTTGGTGAAACCCGCAAGACACGACACAGGGATGGGGAGAGAGAGAGAGAGTACGAACGACGGGATTTTTAGTGTATTTATAGATTGATGTGACGAAAATGCCCCTCCAGATTTTGAGTATTTCCTGGCTTTCGCCAGTTCGGTTTTTTTTTTTAACAAAAATTGTGGCGTCAGTGTTTTGAAATTAAGGAAGTGCGGTGTGGCGGGAGTGATAATGTCGACGCGCCCCCTTGCCCGCGTGTAAAACAGTTTTTTGTTTTTTAGCTATAATATAATAGTAATTGAATTTAATCGAGGCACATACCATACATGCAAAACAATTATTATTCAAAATAATAAAAATTAAAAAAAATTAGACACAAATCATGTATACAAAACAATTATTATTCTTTAATCGAGACAAATCTCTCAAAATAAATCTCGAGTAAACATATATATAATATTATACAAAAATTGATGAAATGATAAGAACAAATGAATAACCAATAAAACAAAGTGGATAATGGACCAAACATGTGAATTAAGTTCTTTTTAAAAAATTGAATTTTTGAAATTTTGACTTTCATGAAATATATGTGAACCCCAACCCCTTTCACATGGTTCACGTTCCACGCACTTAAAACCGCGCCTGTGATTTAGCACTAACTTTCGGTTGGTCAAAATCTATGCAAGCACTGTAGTTTTGAGCAGGTGACAAAATTCAGTGACCGTCGGCAAAGACGTTCCCTCCACCGTCCGATCTGTTGATTGATTTGAAAGAATGACGCCTTTACGCCGCTCACCAATGCCCTTGGAGCACGTGGGGTTTGGGAGGTGTGGGCTCGACTGCGTTTGGTCTACAGTAATGTTATTGCTCTCTCGGTCATAACGATGCCACCTCAAACATAGGCAGGGAATCTTCTTTCTTTCATTTTGAACAGGTATCACTCGCAATATTGTTTGGCTCCAATAAATTAGTTAAAATTAGTTTTAAATTCAAATCTTTCTACAATTAAGAAGGTGGTATTATTATTCATGGCCCAAAAAATACAAAGAAAATCGGTTCGAAATTAAATAATGAATAATCATTATTTAGTTCAATTTTCAATTCATAAATTGAAAAATCTATATTATTCGAATTGAATGGATTATATTCTTTTATTAATTTTTATATTTTTATTTAAATTCTAAATTATAAACTTTAAATCTAAATAAATCAATAGTTAGTTTATTGTTTGTTACATAATCCTTCTCCATAAATAGTAGAGTTTAAATCTCCGTTCCCGTAATTATAAAAAAAATAAGCAAATCAATTTTATATTTTTTTGACATTATATTCAAAAAAGTCTTTAAATTATATTAAAAAATTTAAATAAACCCTTATTATTGTATTAAATTCAATCAAAGCTTTCTAGTTTTGTTTTTGATCAAATAAGTCCTTACGACTAATGATTGAATAACTATCATTAGTTAAAATATAAGTTATCTTTATATACTCACCCAACGTTGATGTAAACTATGAAAAATGTCATACGATCATGTCATCATGTCACGTCATTATCAATTATGAATTATCAATATACCACATAAATATGGCATGATATATAATAACAATGACATTTTGATTAAGTTAATCATTAATTATAGGAGCTTATTTGACTTAAAATAAAAAATATAAGAATTTATTTAAATCAAAATAAAAATATAGAGTCTTAATTGAAGATAATAAAAGAATAATAACTTATTTAAATTTTATTGAATAATTTAGAAATTTAAATATTATAGATGTCTTTTTCCTAAAAAAAAGAAAAACTACAATCATATACATGAAAAAAAAGTTGGTAGCATGTAAAGCATAGTATAAACTTGTCATAAATATTCAATAATTTATATTTCGATTACACTATTGATAATATTTTCATTCACAATATTCAAACTCGAATCTAAGATATTTACTCAAACTCTAACCCATATTTGATGGATTTGAGTTTAACCTAACATGGAACAACTGTTATTTATTTTGAAACATTGATTGAGATAATGACACCCCATAACATGTCATGCAACAAAGTGGGCACCAAATAAACATACATTTTGTGGGCTAACACAAAGAACAAGCCAGTGCATATTTATTTGTTGGTAAAATTGCACACCATGTGACCCTCTTGCTTTAAAATGATAAACCTTTGAACGTGCCAACAAATAGAAGCCTACATTTAAGCTGTCTCCAAATAAACAAGGCCCAAATGTTGTTGTACTCACAAATTTTCATTCAATGAGGAAAAGATATTTTGTTTATGATTTCTGCCTTGAAATTAGCTGGCAAATCATTTTCTTTTATGCTACTAGGTCTACATCCATTGTTTCATCAAAGGGGAAAGTCAAATCATTTTTAGCAAATTCTAGTTGTCGTTTAACCAAACAAAGTATTCCTCAAATTTCTTGTTATGTCTAGTCAGCAGCAGACAATAGCAATATTTATAGCATAAAGTTTTGTAATAAAATCATGATATTATTATTATTATTATTATTATTTAACTTGTTAGTATGGTTGGTGAGATTGGTTACAAAGTTAACTTAAATGGTGTGGAATCAATATCAATAAAATTTTTGTAGTCTTGACTGATCTTTTGCCCACCCAAGCTAAACAGGAGAAGATTGAAACCATTTTATATTCATGCATGTGCTTGTTGTACTTTGTAGATAGATCTTGTGTTTTTATTGGTTAAATGCCACTTATGGTCCTTAAATTTTTATTCCATTTTACTTTAGTCCCTAACCTTAGTAACCTCTAAATTGTTCCATTTAAGTCTTTTAACTTTTTTTAAAATGATTATATTATGTTCCTTTCATTGAGTTGTTCATTTAAAATTGATACGATACTCATGTTGTTGATTATTTGGCATGCTTTGTAAACATTTTTTTAACATTTCACATAGACCTTTTTTTTTTAATTGTTAACAAAATATTGTAATAAAAAGAATCAAAACAAAAGAGAACTTAGTAATTTATATTTGTTATACATTATGCATAAATTAGAGTTTTATATCATCGATGACTAGTTATGCATGTATCGGTTGTACCTTTTAAGTTTGGAGGATAAAGCAACATAAAGATGTGGTGGGTCTTAGGTATAGAAACATGAGATTTCTTCTATCTATTATTTATATAATTTAGGTTTAAAATGTGAGTTCATGATAAGTGGTATCATATTAAATTTAAATCTTTCCAAATATAAGACCTTCATGTGAGATATAAGGGTCAAAGAGGACTCGGACCAGTGTAAAGATCTTTTTCTTCTATAAGTAAAAAGTTAGTATAACAAGGATGTTATACAATTAAATGCGGTAAAATATTATAGATTTCACATTAATAAGAGATGAGATTGATCTTGAGTGTATAAACATAGAGTTTCCTCCACATATCAAACATGCCTTTTGATTGAAAATGTCGATCCATGACAATAAAATGTTGGTCCATAACAATAGGGACTATACTAGGTCATGACAAAAAGTCTAATTGGATTAAAGATCCAAATGAAACAATTCATAGATAAAGAATTAAAGTGGAATCAAAATAAAAAAAATTAGATGCAATAAATGGAATTCACCCGTTTATATTAGTTATACTATATGCATGTATAGTAGATTTATGTTGTTGATGATGATTAGTTGTGCATGTAAAGTCCGTAGCTTCTAAGGATAAAGCCCAAATGTAGAGACCAGACCATGACAAGAACTCTAATTGGGCCTAAATTCAGTTGTCCTTCTAGAAACAAAACCCAAGCCCATACCCTATTGTGAATATAGAGGCCCATAATCTGAAATATTAGAGCAAAGGTTTCATTTCAGTATCAAAAAGCCCATTTCTGAAAAGTTGCCCATTAATCTAAAGCCCAAAACCAGTAAAAGCCCAGTTTTAGAATCAGGTATTTTTCTCTAAAGAAATTTCATTTATATTTTTCTCCATTTTTTATTTTTATTTATAGATAAGTTTCATTTCAAAAATATTATAAGTTAATTTTATAATAACATGATCAACATATCTTAAATTTAAAAATTAATATATCAATTCATATTTAAAAATATCTTAAAAACGTTTTTAGAATAAAAAAAATGAAATACAACATGCAGATAAAATTAAATAGGGTATTGGAAGAATTTATTTATTATTATTAAAAAAAAAAAGGTGCAATTCCGAGTGCAGAGGTCCCCTTGAAAAGCTAGCGTCACTCTTGTTCTCTTTAGGGCTCTTTTGAAACACACGGAGCTTAAACTTAGATACGCTCATAGGTTTGTCCGTACTGAAAACCTATAGACGAGAAATATTGAACCAGAAAAAGGAGAGAAAAACCTTTAAAAGCTTAAACAAGAGCAGCCATGGAAATGTCGAACGAACTCGATAGGCTGCTCTTTTTCGAGCAAGCTCGTAAAATATCCGAAGCTACTTACGCTGCCAATCCTCTCGACGCCGATGTTCGCTTTTTGCCCTTTTCCTTCGATCTATTTTTCTCTATTTTTTAATTAAAAAATGATTTTTTGCTAACTTTTTTTTTTATTATTGTTTGTTGACAGAACTTGACCAGATGGGCCGGAGCTTTGCTGGAGTTGTCTCAGTTTCAAAGCGTTCCAGATTCCCAGAAAATGATTAAAGGTTTCCAACTATATGTTTTGTAATTTTTCAATTAGTTTTTGGTTACAGCAATTTTCTTTTATTGATAAATAGAAGAATTAATATGTGGCATTATTTTTGGCTATTGAAACTTTATTGTGATTATAAAAATGATTAATTTAGGTTATATATTGAATTATTATTATTTTAAATAGATGCTATTTCGAAGCTAGAGGAGGCTTTGTCAATTAACCCTAAAAAACATGATGCTCTATGGTGTTTGGGAAATGCTCAGACTTCTTTTGCATTTCTTACTAACAAGGAGGACGAGGCGAGGCCTTATTTCGAAAAGGCTGCTCAATATTTCCAGCAAGCTGTTGATGAGGTAATATAAGTTTGTTTGTTAAAACATTGGTTGCAACAGTTTTGGATGTATCTTTATGTACATGGTTGAATTCTTTTTTTTTTTGTTGACATCTAGCTTTGTTATGTGTATTTGTAGGACCCGAGCAATGAAGTTTACCTCAAATCTTTAGAAATTTCTGCTAAGGTACTTCTCAATCTTTACTTAGATTGATTTGTTCTTTGGTAATACTTATGTTTCATGTGATTTATACCTTTGAATAGCTTGGTACAACGAATTGTGTTTATTAATGAAAATTTGGGTGGACCTCGTTTGACTTTGATGGGAGGATCTTGATTCTATTTTCATGACTATTAGATGAATGCCAGTGGATTATTTTTGAGATGTTAAATGTGGATTATTTTGTGAACATTGCTGAAGATTGTTTTGGACTTCATATTTACCTTACTGGGAGTTTTATGTAGCTGTTATTAACTTGCACAATTGAGGTTTGTGGAGGTCTCATGAAGTAATTGATATTAAGTGTTACCATTTACTATGCAAGTGAGAATAACCTTTCCCCCTTGAGACACAATGCTGTGAAATTGAGATGAATATGGCTGTAGCTCACATTTGTCGTTCCATAGTAGAGTAATGGCGATCTGGATTCTGTTAGTTGTAGCTGCTACAAGCTGCTAAACTCCAGAATCAATAAAAGTCAAGATTTGTGGTAATAGAACCATTCCAAGGGCATATATACATCTCCACCTAAGAAGACCTGAAGAATAAAAAGAAAAGGGACATATTTTCTACCTTTGCTAAACTCAATCAGTTAAAGATTTCACTCTTAAAGCTAGAGACTAGAGGGAGGTGTTGAGTTCAAACTGGCCCATATATTTTTTTTTTGAAAGGTCCCATATGTCTTTTTTTAATCGTGATTATCCTTATATGTGGTTCATGTGAATATATCTAGTTGTTTCTATATTAAAAACATCCTTTCTCTTTTCTCAGGCTCCAGAATTACACCAGGAAATTATTAAGCATGGTTTAGGTCAACAAACACTTGGGGCTGGACCTTCTTCTTCTACTTCTTCCAGTTCAACAAAGGTAATGGTCTAAATTTCTTCCTTTCGTGTTCCTCATCGTCCCATCTGCACTCCCCCTCCTCCTTCCTTTTCCCCTATTATCTCTGTTTGGCTACTGTTGCCATGTGCTGCCTAATTGATCAAAGATTTTTCACTATTTGTATAGTCATTATAAAGGATAATAGTCACTTAGTTGTTCTCTTGTCTTTATTTTTAGTTGATCTACATTTAACTTTGTTTATAGCTTTAGCGAAACAACATCAAATGTTTGATGGGTCACAGACATTATGGTTAATTTAAAGCACGTTGCATTTGCACCATTCCATACATAAAATGCATCATGTGAAAGTGCATACCCAAACCATGTGCATACATATTATGGTTATTTAGGGGACATTGCATTTACAGTTCCATTTCATGCATCAGGTGGACGTGCATATGCAACTCTCTTAGATAGGGATCCAGCTTATGGATTTTGTGTTTTATTATGGAATTCTTGCTGTGAGAGGTGAGGTTTATTTAGCTTAGTTTTTGTGGTTCAAAACCACAAGCTTATGTTATGGTTTTTATCATTTTTAGAGATCTGAGTGTCGGGAAGTTTGTAGGAGTGATTATTTTCATCATTTGAGTTTGACTACTTATAAAGGAGAACTTGGGCACAGTGGTATCCATAGGTTTAGAGTAGGTCAGACGAAAGAGAAAAGTGACATGGAGATAATGTGTGATACCAAGTCATAGGAGAAATTTTGAGCAATTGCCAGAGGACCAATCTTGCTTTATGTTAACTACTAATTGGATAGTTAGAAAACTACACTACATGTCTCTAAAATGAGCGTGACTGAAATGAGAAAAGCTGCAGCAGCAGAGGACAAATCAAGAGATGGCTTTAGATGATTGAACAATGTATAATGATAGATCTAGAATGCAGTTGTGCATCAGAGTCATTTGGTTTTTATTGAAGGAATGAAGTGGTAAAAGCATGCTGCATGTAAAAGATGACACATACTTAAGTATTAAGAAAGGAATTGGCATCATAATAAACATAGGTTGAGTGGGATGGAGGTAAAGCACTCATGTAGCTCACTTATATGGGGATAGTGATCTTTGCCCCTGAATTTCTCCATTTCCTGATAAAATGCTTTAGTCATGATGAATAAGGTAGTCATTGGACTGGGAATGAATTATCCTGGTTTATTGTTCAGTCCTGTCTTCAATTGTAAGTGTGACTGTTAAAACCATGTCAAGATTGGCTGCTTCATTTGAAGTGCTTACTCGTGCACTGTGTCCTTAGAAGGACATGCTAAGTTTGATGACTTTGTAAGTGTTTGAATTAGGCCTTCTCTTATAAAATTCTGTTCACCTTGTTGCAGACTGCTACAAAGAATAAGAAAAGTAGTGATCTCAAATACGACATATTTGGATGGATAATCCTTGCTGTTGGCATTGTTGCATGGGTTGGGTTTGCGAAATCTCAAATGCCACCTTCCCCACCACCACCACCACCGCGATAAAGCAATGGATGCATGCCTTGAGGGGATTCAAACAGCCTTGAGGCTTCTGGGTTGAGACATTGGGAGAAAAATTGAGAATCGTATGTTTTGTTAGTTATTTTTTTTGACCTTAGTGCTTCCATTTCAATGAACCAATGATCAAATAAGTTTAAAAAAAAAGTCATTTCTGTATGAAACTATGATTTTTCTCCAGAGATAAGAAATGTCATGTCAACGTTGTGCACTTTTGGGCCACAGCTTCAATTCTAATTATAGCCATTTAAAATAAAATTGGTTTATTTGGAGAGGTTTCTTGTTCATGTGGTGTATGATGTAATGAGCATGAAATGGTAAAGGAAAAATGCACAGAAGTTGTTGTGTCATCACATTATGGTGACGTTTGGTACATTACAATGTAATGTGATTACAGGTAATGTATTTGCAAGTAATGTGATTGCAAGCAATGTGATTACAGGAAAAATAACATTACAGTGTTTGGTATGTAAGTAAAATAATGATTAAAATGTAGGTAAGATAACATTGCAATGTTTGGTTTACAAGTACTTTAGTGGGAATGTAATGTTAATTGTCAAAATTACCTTTAATTATTAAAATATAAGTTTAATATATTTATATTTTTTAGTATTAATTTTTATATAATATCATTTCTTAAATATATTTTTAATATCATATATTTTATTTTTATTTATTATTATAATATTTTATATTTTATTTTTAATATATTTATATTTTTATTATTAATTTTATATAATATCATTTCTTAAATATATTTTTAATGTCATATATTTATTTTTATTTATTAGTATATATATTTATTTTTATTTTAATATATTTATATTTTATTATTAATTTTTATATAATATCATATTTTAAATATATTTTTAATATCAATATTTTATTTTTATTTATTATTATAATTTTATATATTTTATTTTTAATATATTTATATTTTTATTATTAATTTTTATATAATATCATTTCTTAAATATATTTTTAATGTCATATATTTTATTTTATTTATATTATAATATTTTATATTTTATTTTTAATATATTTATATTTATATTATTAATTTTTATATAATATCATATTTTAAATATATTTTTAATGTCATATATTTTTTTTTATTTATTATTATAAGTTTATATATTTTATTTTTATTTTTTTAATATTTTTTATATTATATATTTTATTTTAATTTGTTTTACCTATATTATATAAATGTTAATTTTTTATATTTTATTTTTATTTTAATTTTTATTCTTATATTATATATTTTATTTAATATTTTTATTTTATTATAAAAAATATTATAAAATATTTTTAATAAGGTAATAAAATTGAAGGGTAAAATTATTTTTAAGAACATTGCAGAATGCAATGTAATGTGATTGTATTGATTTTGGATTACAATCACATTACATCTATTGGTTGTAATGTGATTGCATTGCAATCTTACATTGCAGTAATCTGTTACAAAACAAACGCTGCAATGTAATTTAATAAGTCACATTGCAGGTAATGTGCTTTACATTACACTATACCAAATGGACCCTATATGCGATATGAATAGAAAATGTTGGCATTGAATTTCATTAAAAATTATTAAAATTTAAAGATATTTGGATATAATGAAAGAATAAGATTTTTTTTAGATATAAATAAAAAAATAAGGATTTCTTTGAAGATGGTAAAAGTTTAAGCACTCAATTACATAATAAATATCAATAAAACAGTGTAAATGAAAAACATTTACGATTTGTCCGCGGTCAGATGGGCTCAAATTGGACCAAATGTTTGGGCCTGAATGCCTACCAAGTCCCAGGAAAGAAATAATATTAGAAAAGCATTTATGGGCTGATCCGGGCCTAACTCAAGTAACAAGTTGCGCTTCCATAAGCCCGTATTGGACCAAATATTTGGGCCTGATTTAACAAAGCTCAGGTCTATTGCAAAAAATGACGAGAGGCCCACTTATGAGGCCCATGTACTATAAAGTAGAGAGATTAAAATAATAAATAAAAAGATGGAAATTTCTTCCTTCTTCCTAGCTTCTCTTTGGGTATCTCTAAAATGTAACCGCTGCTGCTCTGTCTTAACTGCTTTTCAAAAGCTCTTCCGAGTTCCAGATAAAACGAATAGAATTCGAGCTTCCTAAAAATGGCGGGAACGAAACTGTACGGTAGCGAATCCACTCAGTCGCTCTCCTTTTGGCACTCCTTCGCAACCGCACCGCCGCCTGTGGCGCCGTACTCCAGCCGTGTCGGTTTCAACTCGGTTAAGCTCAGTCGGCTTCGCGTCTTAGCTATGGCCGTTAAAAGGAGTCCGAAGCGTCTCAAATACTCTGCTCCTCGCTTCGCCAAGGTCTAATTTGAATTTCTTCTCAATTGAATAATAATACTAGTAATATCTGAAATTTAAGTGAAAAAAAAATTGAAATTGACAGGAGGATGAGCTGGTTTATGTGGAAGCTGATCCGTCAGGAACAGATAGTTGGAAGCTTGAACCTGTAATTGAACTTTTAAAACAAGGAGCTGTTGGTGTTATTCCTACTGATACCGTGTAAGAACTGAAAAGCTCTCTCCTTACTTTCTTTTATTACTTTTTGGTTTTTGTTTCTAAAAACAAAGGCCGTGTTTGGATGTAAAATGTAATTAAAAGTTCAAATACAAGTTGTCTCTTTTAATAGGAAAAAGACGCATCATTTTGCTTTTATCAGCTTGTGTTACAGTTTAGTATTTTAGTATGATTTTTTTTTCTTTTGTTTTTTACTTGAAGCAAAATGTGAGTACTAAAGTAAGGTCCAAACGAGGCCTTACGACTTCTTTTGAATTTCTTAAATCAAAGTTTATGTTTTGGTGACTGTGAATGTTTTCTTTGTTCATAGGTATGCGATAGTTTGTCATTTGAGAAGCCATTCAGCCATTGAACGTCTTCGTAGGTAGATAGCGGTTGTCCTTTTTGTTCTAATTTTAGAGGTCTTAAGCATTTTTCTAATTTAATGTTTAGCTGATAAAAGCTGTTGTATGTTCTCCTATTGCAGAATAAAAAATATTGAACCTTCCAAGGTAAATTTCAGTACTTTACAGACATGACACTAGCAACGAATTAAGCTCTTTTGATGAATATGCTTTGGGGTGCATGTTGTCATACCATAACAAGCGTATCAATTTTTCCATGCATCTAATTTTTGTGATCCTTCATGTCTTTTTACTGTCGATGCAGCCCCTTAGTATCTTATGCCGCTCTCTTCAAGACATTGACACTTATACGACGGGGTTCCCTTGTGGTGATGGCCAAGGTCACGCGAATATTTTTCGAGCTGTTAAACATTGCTTGCCTGGGCCTGTAAGATTACTCTTTGTTTTGCCATGATAATCGTTTGCAGAAGGAACCTTAAAAGTACCTATTAGTGGCATTATAGAGCCCGAATAGAAGCAACACATTGTTATGTGTGGACAACATGAGGGGATCTTTAGTAGGATCCACCATACTGTGGTTTCTTATGCAGAAATTCTTCTTGTTCTGCACTTAGTGTTAATGGCTTTAATGTTAATGATCTTTCTGCTTATTTTTTCGCCCCCATGTTGGACAATGGATGCAGGCATATAGATTTCCATATAGAACCTTTATGACCATATTAGGTGTTTTGGCATGGTGCATTTTCTTGGACCTGCTAATTTTTAAGCCTGTTTCCCTTGCATGTCTTTGTATCTCATAAGTGGAATGCTAATTTTATTTTTTTTGGTAAATAAGTGGAATGTTAGTATGAGCGATATGTTCCACGATGTTTGCAGAAAATGTTTTTAACTTGTACAACAAATTTCTGTGGAAACAGTATACATTCATCTTAACTGCAAGCAAAGAATTGCCTAAACAGTGTGTGAGGTATGGCACCACAAAGGAAAAATATGCTGCAAGGAAAAATGTAGGTGTACGTATGCCTGATGATGCCATATGTCAAGCAATATTAGAAAAGATGGACGCACCTTTAATATCCACAAGGTTGGTTTCAAGTGTATATTGATGCCATTAAAGCTAATGGAACTGATATTTTCATGGTGGATAATAAAGCAAACTAGATCTATAGCTTCCGCTTTTGTATCCCGTATATGCTTTATTATTTTATACTTAATGTCTGTTCCTTTATGTTAGCGTCAAGTGGCCAAAAGAAAATGAGTGGATGATAGATCCAGTTGTGATAGCTGATATATATGGACCAGAGGTATGAGTTTGTCTGGTTTAATTTATCTTTAAAGTTTGATTAAGCTATCAAGGTTATAATTTCAACTTGAGCTGTGGCAGTAACTATTACTTTCCAGATAAATTATGCTTGCAAAACAGTAATCTTTCTTGGATAACTCTTTATTGAATCACCTAGAAGAGCTATTTTACTTTATTGGATAACTCTTTATTCATTCGTTTTTTTATCTCACAATTGGGTTGTATTTTATTCCACTTTAGGGTCTTGATTTTGTTGTTGATGGTGGCATAAGAGTGGCTGATCCATCTACTGTTGTTGATATGACTGGGGCTTCTCCAAAAATTGTACGGCAAGGAAAGGTAAGTGTATACATGCGATAATTCTCTATGATTACACTGTTGCTTACATATGGTATGACTTGTATTCCTGAATCAAGACAATGTGGTGGGATGAGTTCTGTCATCTTTTTATAGCCTAAGAAATCTAACTTTTATTAAACAAATATAGTTCTTTTTTCCAACTTTGGTTCTAGTTAGCTATTGGCTAAGCTTTGCTTGTTATCTTAGATTTGTACAAGTAACCTTGTAATAAGTAAAGGGATGCAACACTCATTTAAGAGGAAAGAAGAAACTAATTGAGCAATATTCTCAACAAATCCGATTTGTTATATGAATGATGCTCAGGGACCCAAACTACACTGGATGGTCACAGAAGAAGATGATGGACCTGCTCTCTACGCAGACGAACTCATCCCTTCAGCCACATAGGAGTCTTGCTCCTTGTAGACTTACAGGACAAGAGGACCATTGTTCATTCGGATTCAAGTTCGGATCAGTGGTTCTGCTGCTTTCTTTGTCGTCGTCGTGGTTTATTGGAGATTTTTCCACCTCCACAAAGAGATCAACTGTGTATGTTGTGTAAGGGAGGTCAAGCAGTGGTATTGTATAGGTCTTCAACTTTCTCACTAACCATTTTGTATTAAACACCCTGTCCAGGAAAACCTGGTTTAAGGCTTGCATTCTCATTGCAAAGCCCAAAGGTGTTAATTAAATTTTATGATTATTATTGTCCAAAAATAAAAGGTAAAAATAACTATCCATTCAATGATTTTTTCTTTTGAAAAATAAACAAAATATTCTTATTATTGCAAAATGGAAGAAATTTGTTATGGCTAATTTAAATTGGAACTAGTATTTTCCTCGCGGAAGGATCGAATTTTTTATTTAAATAATTTTGAATTTATAAAAATATTTATAGTATTTTCATATTTTAATAGACAGTATATCAATATAGTTATATTTCATAAATAATGATAATTCTAAAAATAACCACCAGTAACCTAAACACTTTTTGACTATGTTATAGATGAAGTCATTAGGTGAAATAGTCAAGAATTTTGTCATTCTTTTCGAAATTATTTTCACTTATTCTTACAATGAAATAACTTTGTTACTCATTTTAAGTTACTTTTAATCGAATTGTAAGATAATTTTATTAATATTAAAAAAAAATAAAATATTAATAATCAAAATCAAATAACTACATTTACTTTAAAAAAAACAAAGTGAAAAATAATCCCTCACAAAATGTATATTCTCTTTTTTCTTTCTTTTGAATTGAATGGGGACTTGCACTGTTGAATGTCTAAATCGAAAATAGTAGGCAGTATTAATCAAATGGAATTTCCAATTTGAGGTCTGATCCACTGATAAAGAAGACACATAATGTGCTTGGGAAATGGGAGCAAAACTAGTTCTTTTGCATGCATGATACTGACCACTGAGTGCCACAACATTTATGTGTCAATGAGAGCAAATGTTGCAGGCAGTAATGGGGTCAACATTAACTTCTTTTATTTTCAAAAGGGCAAGAAATAAAATGCAACAAAAATACCAATTGCATTAAATTAAAGATACACCAAGGCCAATGGTAGCTATGGAGGAATGTGAACTTCTTTCTATCAGCAGTTAATGAGATTAACTACTATCGTTGGTGGTAGTTGACCACAACTTTTTTTCACTTCTTCAAACTTAAATGAGCATCAGGTGAAAGCTGTCCACAACTCTCAATGTTTGCTAAGCTCTCAACAACTCAAAACCTCTCTTCCTATCTTTCTCCTCTGGTTTTGTCGGTTGAATATGAAGTAGATGGCAATTCCTGAAATGGGGTTGTTCAGGTTTCTTAAACTTAGTGTTTGTGTTGCCGTGATGGTGGCGGGTGCACTGAACTTTGCTGACTCAGCTGTTTACATTCATTTTGATCAAACTCCCCCAGCATGGTCAAGGTCCTCCACTTCTAGTTTTCGGTACTCGGTTGAAAGGCCTGATGGTTCTAATGCTTGCAGGAATAATAGTTGTTCTATTTACTGTGAGGTATCACTCCTCCTGATCACTTCTCCCCCATTGTGCTTGATCTCAGTCAAGTAAAGATAGCTGAATCTTGAGATCCTCCAATTTGTGTATTTAAGACCATAGCTAGCTTATGGAATATAAAATGTTAAATCCTTCAGTTTTGGAACATTGCACAAGTACTGAAAAGGCTAAACCAAAAGATAATTTTGACATATATATTCTGGCAGTTCAGAGTTACTATATAGAAACAACTTAAAAGAGGTCTGTTGCTGCTTACCTAACATCGTTGATGGTTTCTGCAGAGTTAAAATCCTTCTCCAGAGGTCAATGTAGACCTTGAATTTACCAACTACTTTAGCTTAAGAGGGTCTATTCATTGTGAAATTACAAAGATATTTAACTTTGTTCTTGATGAGCAGTTGGACGGCCAGCGATTGAGACCATGTCATGCTGGTACCATAGTACTGAGAAACTTAACTGCAAATCATGAGCATAACTTCCTTCTCAACGTCACAACCCGAAATGGAGAGAAAAACTCTTCAGCTTATTCATGGTTTATCGGTAAGAAAATATCCACTTTACATATATCTTCTTACTGAGGAGTTGCACTCTTCTTGCTGATGACTAGCCATTGCTTTATCTACAGAAGAGCACCTTTTTTACTGTCACCAAGAAATTAAGCAGATATTAGTTTTTCTGATAATGCAGTGATCTTTCATAAAGATGAAAGTTTATATCTTTCATATTTTACTTATGGTTTATACTCTTGTCTATAGGAATCTAAAGTTTGTGTCTGTGTTTTTCTTTTTATTATTTAAGATAAAATCCCACCAACAGCAATTATTTCAAGTGAACAGAATTACACAAGTGCGGAAAAAATTACAATTGACATTACATTCAGTGAAGCTTGCACTGGACATGGTGGCTTCAAGTGTGTGAACTCATCAAACTGTGATGTAAGTAGGGTGCTCTTGCTCAGAGCTTGCTTGTTGAATGTGAGATGAGGTTCATAAGGCTACCTTCTTCCTAAGGGGCATCAGTCAATTATATAGAACCTTCATGCTTGAATATGAGAACAATTCATTTTGTAGGTTACTGTTGACGGTCCAGCTCATGTCCAAGCATCCTCGTTAAGCATCATTAAACCCAACATCAAATACAGTCTCCTACTAGTTCTATCCATGAAACACAGATATGGGCGTGTAGTGGTTAGAATGGCAGATGATTTTTGCAAGGATCGGGCTGGAAACAATTTCACCAGGAGCAATGCTTCCACTGCAATTATTCACTTTGGTGAGACATCAGTCAACAACTTGTGCATTGATGTTGCTGGACAAATCTCATTTTTGAACCTTTTAATTGTTCTTATCTGCATAACTTGTCATAGATAGACGACCGGTGCTGGTTGATCTTTCGTCATCTGTTCCATCAAATGAGTTGGCAATCAATGGGGTTCCCAGGACTGTTTTTGCAACTAACAGAATGAAGAATTTGGAGGTGTACTTGGATTTCAGCATTCCAGTCGTTAATTCAACAGAGCAGATCCTAACTGCGTTATATGTGAATTCTGGTAGTCTGATACCTATTCACGAGAGAACTCATGGAAATCGCCGATTTGTTTTTTGTGTAAGCAGCCAACATCATTAAATTTCTTGGACTTACATCCCTATGAAGACAATTTTACATATTAACACTTTTTTTTTAGCTCAAGAATATTGCATCAGATACTGAAATCATCACAGTCAAACTACAAGCTGGCTTATTGATTGGCAGAACAAGCACTCCTGTCTCACCTGTTGCAGCACTTACATTCCTCTATGGTATGTTTTTTCCACAGTTTGGCGTCCAGAAAGAGTTAGTGCAATCTTCTTTTTTTGGCCTACAGCATCTTTGTTGAGCTAATTGATGAATTTTCCTCAAAGATTGCACCAAGCCTGGAGTAGGCCTAAGTACCAGTTCACAAAATGTCACGAAGGAGTCCAATATCAATGCAATTGTTGAGTTCACAAAGCCAGTTTTTGGTTTTGAAGCCTCCATGGTAGAAGTGAATGGAGGGAGACTCATAAGGCAGGTGCATATGGAGATCCAAACTTTCAATCTCTGATGCTCAAGAAGCAGTCATGTCATTCTGTGATGCATCTAACGACATTGTTGTTCATGTAGGTTTAAAGAACTTTCAAGAGCTCTTTACTCGTTGACTGTTCTGGCAGCAAGTAATAGTAAGGTGTCAATTACCATTCCTGAAGCGAAAGTCAATGATATTTCAGGAAATTTGAATCTGGCATCTAATAAACTTGAAATGTTTCACTGTAAGAATAATTACTTTTCAGTTTTCAGTATCCTTTTTTCCTTTTTAACTATCATGCTTTCTCATAGTCCATGTATCACTGAGATTTTAATTTTCAGAATAGGCAAATCCACAGGGTAATATGTGGACATTTTTCCTGAAAGAAGAATAGTTTATTCTGTATGGCATGACTACTATTTCTCAAGTTCTGGTTTTTATTTTTACACAGATTCAACACCTGCAATATCAACAGCACTGCACTCGTTTGTGACTTCGGGAGTCTTAGCAACAACACTAGCTGCTGCTATTCTTTCACTTTCCTCCACAAATCTTGGAGCAATAACTAAACTTAACTCTGCAAGTAATAATTTTGTAGCTTCTGATCCATCAATGAATCTACATGTAAGCAATTTTCAATAGCTTGATAATGTCAACATGCTAGCAAGTTTCCCTATATTCAAATTTGTACCAGAACATTATACATTTTGTGCCATCATTAAAGCTCAGAGTAAAGATTTGGAAAAATTTACATTACAGGGAATGATAGGACACCTGCAAGTGTTTGTCCTTTCAGACTGGCTATTGTCTGATCAACCCATTGAATATTCTGAGACAACAAAAGGCCTTAGGTGGCTCATACCTCGACAGAAACTTCCGTGGAAAAGGTATGGCTATTCAATTTGGCCTAACAATGTTTATTTGGATCAAGGGAGGTTCGTGAAGAGATCCAGTAGCTGGTTTAGCGGATACCTTTCTCATGAGAGAGCTTACCATGACATTGGCTTAGATAACTCATCTTACTTGCAACAAAAGTTACTATTTCCAACTGAAATTGACTCAAAGTTCAGTTGGCTCTATGGAAGGCAAAACATAAGCAAAGAAGACTCTCCTTTTGGGCTACCTCTTAATTCAAATGAATACTTCACCTTTTTCTTGGTTGGTATATTCCTTATGGTGTTAATATTATGTTTTTAAATGAGAACCTCTAAATTTCTCTTCACTGTTATGCAGAGGGGAGAGCCATTATCTGCTAGCAATGTTGTCAAGAAATTGGAGAATTACAAAGGGTAGATACAAAATTTAACTTCTAATTTAGTGGCGTAAGATAAGTAATTTTAAAAACAAGTTTTCAGTTTATTTTTTGTTGCAATTAGAAAAGTACTGAAGTAGATTTTTTAACAGTTGGCAGGACATGGCAATGAACTTGTTCTGGCTGAGCATAGGAGTGGGTGGCCTGCTAATAGTTCATTTTGCACTGTTAGTTTTCTTAAGATGGAGGATAGGGACAGCAGCTCAAGGGATACTTTCAGTTCCGAGGTTTGAACTCCTCCTTTTAATTCTCATGCTACCGTGTATCTCCCAGTCTTCTGCATTTCTAATAAGAGGTGAGAAATTATAGCTATGACTTCTGGTTTCAATAGATTATCTTGATGTTTCCATGAACTAAGGATATATATGATCGATAGGTGGTACAATCAAGGGGATCATCACTGGAGCTTTGTTGCTAGCCATCCCTGCAGCATTTATTTTATCTGTATGCCTTTTCCTCACAATTGCAGTCTTCACTGGCAGCCTTGCTCAGTACAAAGAAATCAGACATGCCACTGCAGAGGAAAAATGGCATAAAAAACTGTGGTTCTTCTTAGTGGGGAGGCCTGCTTCTGGAAAATGGTTTTATATGGATGGACTGCCTTCATCATTCCTCTCTCACTTTGGCATTCTATTCGAGGATCAGAAGGGTCCTCCTTTGTTTGTCTTTGTTGACCAGAATGACTCAAACACTATGCCTAGGTGGGTTGGAAGTGGCCAAAATGGAATCGGAAGATTGAGGGCTGTCAGCTCAGATGACACCCATGAAGAAATGAAAATTTCCTTGCCTAAGAGGTTCTTAGGTTGTGCTAGATCTTCCTATATTATTGTTGACCTTTTAAGAAGAGTCTGCTTGGGAGTAATCTCTGGATCCTACTCATCACACAGATCAAGCCAAAGCGTTTGTGCATTGACGATCACACTGGTGCAGTTCTTATGTTTATTTACTCTCAAACCACACATCAGAAGGGGAGTTTACATAGTGGAAAGCATTTCTCTGTTGAGTGAGGCAGGCGTCTTTGGTCTGTCCATCAGTATGAATAAATCAAATTCAATCAGAGAAAAAACTTTGGGACTTCTAATGCTGGCTCTCCTTTTCCTTTCCTTTGTTTCTCAACTTGTAAATGAGTGGTATGCACTGATAAAATGCCTTCTAAATATCTCTCAGCCACATAAGAATTCTTTTAAACTCGGGTTGAAGTTTGCTGCTAAGGGTCTTCTCTTGCCTTTCCTCCCAAGGAAGCATTGGTCAAGAGTCATTCCTGGTTCCTCACAAGCAAAATCAGTCTTAGTTCCGGCCCTTCCTCAAAGTAGGGAAACTGAAATTGTAAGAAGAGATCACAGGGAACCTCATGGCGGCCAATTTGGTTCCATGACTGCAACAGTAGTCCCTCTTCTTAGTCCTGATTCACCAATTATTAAAGCAACAGGCACAGCTGCAGAGACAACTCTTACCGTGCAGAAACCAGGGGAAAGTAAAAGGGGAAAGGGACTTAAATTTGATCCGAGGAATGATCTGAAGAAACTAAGAGAGTTGGCAAGGGCCAGTTTCTCTGGGAATTCAAAGGATGAGGAAACTAACACCAGCTATAGATACAGGTTACAATCTTTCTCTCCTGAAACTGTCTCCAATGATCCTCAAACCTCCACTTCTAAAATTACAAAGTGAATAACTGATGTATAGACTAATATGGCTGCAGAATAAACAAATGGATGTCCAACTTTGTCCTGTGGCAAAGATCTTTCTGTTCTTATAGAATTGTATCTGGATTTAGATATGCTTAATTTATAATCTACTAACCTTGTATTTACACATATCAGCTAGCAAAGAGCATCTTATATCAATGTTGATCAAGTTTCAGAAAACCTAGTACAATATTTCTGAATTATTGCCTCAATTCAGCATTCAGTTTCCTTGAATGTCAACAGAAATTTATTTGATTTAAACTCAAAATTCTGTCCCATCCATGTTGCTAATACAACTAACTGCTAGTATGAGCTACAAACAAGAATTGAAGAAGTCAAATGCTCTAGAGCAAATAGTTAAAAGTTGGACGGATGCGTTGGCTGCATACAACGGCGATCAATCTGCTGCAGAAGACATATTAAAGAAGAACATGTTGCAGGTCTTGTATCCTAGCTTTTGGCAAGTGGAGAGATTTTTTGAGCTCTCCGTTTGTTGTTTTACTGTAGGGTGTTGCTTTTGATTTTGGCTCAATGTTTTTAGTTTTGATGAATCTCTTGGATTCTTTGTTGTGTTTCTGTTGGAACTAGGATGATCTTTTTGTATAGGTGCTTTCTTTGTTCATGGTGATGTGTTGCCAATTGCTTTTTGGGCAGAGTCTCACAGGTTATGATTGTATAAACTTCACCCATCTAAGGCAACTATTATTCCACCAAGAGTCCTTCGTCAATAAGGACTTAAGACTTGAAGTGGCAGGTTGATGGCTGGCTTTAATAATATATCACCTTAAAAAAAACAGTTGGATGGATAAGAATGTTAGATGAAATGGAAGAAAAGCCACAGTGATGAAACCACAGATGCCAACATACTAAAAATCAGAAGTTTTCCTTATGGCCCTCCATACTCATCAAAATTTGGCAGATTCTGCCCGTAATCCCTAAGTTCTGATAAAGATTCTTCTTCTAATTCTTGCCTTTTTGGTGGCATTATCAACTGAGTAAGGCCATGTACGATGAGGCAATGGCTATTATACATTTCCGGGAAGATCACTGGAACATCATTAAGGAAAACGATATCTCCTGATTTGGTCACATTGATCATGAACCCTTTTGCGAAAAGTAGACCAAACTGTTCCATCATTGAGCCCAGACAAATCTTTCCATGGAAGCAACCTGGGAACTACATGTCTCCGGAATATACCCGCTAAAAGATCTTATGCCCGCTTCTATTGCTTCATCAACTGATGCAAAGATTGTCAATCTTGTCCGAGGACTGAACCCTCCTAATTGGATACCAAGAAACGTGGCCATGTTTGTATAACCCCTGGACATCAACAAATCCGAAGCCTGATCGTAAAGATCAACATCAAAACTTGCCTCTTTGTAAAATGAATCAGCATCATGCTCCACAGGAAAACAAGGAAGGATCTCAAAAGATGGATCAAAGAAATCATCTGTTCCCTATATTATCAGCGCCCCATCATCGAATATGACTGATTTTGGGATCAAGACATTATTAATGGAAATCATGGCACCAAAACTCTTAACAGTACTGACGATCAAAGAATAATTCGACGACAATTTAGGTATTCTTGCACCGGAAGGAAGGATCTTGAGGGTTTCAGCGGAGAGTCCTGTTGAGGAGATATGATACTGAAGTTGGACAAGAGAAGACTGGCCTGACTGAGCGAAAGCAGATTCCGAAGGAGCAAAAATGGTTGCTGTTGACGATTCAAGATTGAGAATACCAGATGCGAGGTGACGAGTTGGCCCCATGGAGAGATACCCAGAGTCTGACAACGGGAAGAGGATGAGAGTCAAGAATTCTTTAACGTCATGAGAGAGCGTATGTGCTTTAAAGGGTTCTTTAGGGATGGTAATGGCTACTCCATTATAATTGGGTATTTAGCCTGGTTATATAAGATTAGGTGTCCTTTAATCCTTTTGAGTAGGGTTTAGGAATTCGATTATATTTTTGTTATTTTATGTAATTAAAAATAAATTTATATTATTAATTTAAAAAATTATAATTATTAATTAATTTGTTATATCTTTTAATATATATTTTATATATTATGTTAATTTATAAAAAATATAATTATTATTATATATACTTTTAGTATAATATATTTGCACATGACCATTTGTCTTATTGATTAGTTTGGGTTCAGATCATTTTTTTTTGTATTTGTTTTTAATTATTTAAGTTGATATTTGATATATTTATTTTTGATTATTTAAATTTTATCATTTGTGTGTTTTTATAAATTTAATTATTAATGAATTATATGAAATATGAATGAAAAATATTATTTTATACGAATACAGGTACAAATTTAGATTCGGATAATTAATACCTATCAAGAGCATATTAATAATTTTTTTACATAATCGAGTTTTTAAACAAGTTTAAATATGCATTAAGGTTTACGTAATAAATTTTAAAAATATTCGAGTAATTATAAAATTCAGATATCCATTTATTAAGCAATTTTAAGTTCAAATAACTCAAAATTAGTAATTACCTTTCCCATCTCTACGTTCTCTTCTTGTTTCCCTTTTGTTGAACCTGAGAGAGAGAGAGGGGAGGCTTGTGGCATCAAATTTTAGTTATATCCGAAGAGCGGGAAAGTAAGAAGTTAGTTATATTTTGTCAGCAAACAAGCAAACCCTTCCTGACTTATTTGATTTTTCAATGTTTTAACATGTCAATTTTCTGTATTTAACAATTCAATCCCCTAGTGAGTCCGAAAAGTAATATTTGTTCACTTCAACAACTAAATTATCAAAAAGTACAGTTAGAAATTTATATGGTACAGTTAAATAAAAAAAATTTACTGTTAAAGATAAAAAAACTGTAGTTAAAAAGATTTTTAAAAACATTATTGAAAAAAGCATAATTAAAAGTCAAATTTGTTATAGTGACAGGTTTAAGAAATTAATTAGAGATACGTAAAGCATATAATTTAAATATTAGAAATTAGTATTAGGTCATTTGGTGTCGGCATTGCATGCTAAAAACCTATGCAAAACGTGCCTTTTTAAACAGACATTTCCTTTCAGTTAGTCATGTGTTTTGATTAACACAACCTTTGATGAAAATAAGCACTTGCATGGAATATTCAATCTTGTGCAACCAGTGTAACATACCTTTTCAGACTGGACATGTCCTTTCATTTAGTTATGTTCTTGAACTGAAGTAAACAGCACAACCTTAAGTTGATTGAATCAAACGTAGTTGTTTACATGAAAATAGGTGATTTTTTTTAAAGAATCACCAGTTGTGTCTGTTGTGGAAAGGTTCATCGAAACAACGCTTGTGATTTCTATTTAATCTACTACGTCAATAATCTATCACTTCGTTAGCCTTTGATTGGCTCTAGGCCTCTAGCATTTGTTCATGGCTGGTGTGGCATCAGAATGCGCGAATAATGAAGACAAGGACAGGATCAGTGCCTTACCTGACGGAATTCTCACTCACATACTCTCTTTACTTCCAACCAAAGATGCAGTTATGACTAGCCTTTTGTCCAGGAGATGGAGATCCGCTTGGACTTGTGTGACTAATGTTGAACTTGATGATTCCAAGGTGTCTAATTTCGAGATGTTTGCAGAGAGAGTTATGAGTGTACATCATGCCAGAATAAACAAGTTTACCCTACGTTGTAACGATTGGCATAGTTCACAGTTGATCTATCAGTGGATTTCTACTGCAGTTATGAGCAATGTTGCAGAACTTGACATCAGTTTACTCACATTTGAAATGATTAACTTGCCTGATTGCGTTTACACTTGTGAAAGCCTTGAAGTTCTAAAGTTATCAGGATGGTTCGCTTTGGAGGTTCCTGATAGTAAGGTGGTGTCCCTTAAGCGTCTCAAGTTTCTTTCCTTTAGTTGGCTGCAGATTAAAGATGATAGTTACATGACATTACTCTTATCTGGCTGTCCTGTCATTGAAGAAATCCACATTTACAAATCAATGTGGGAAGGTTTATCAACGTTTTCTGTTTGCTCACCGTCATTAAAACGTTTATCGGTGGACATAGAGGGGAGACAGGTTGCTCCAAAGCACTGCACTTTTGTCCTTGATGTTCCCAACCTGAAATACCTTGCACTCATAAATGATGGGATGGCTTTAAGTGAAAACAACTTTGAAGAACAAGCATCCTCAATAGTTTCAGCACGCCTTCAAGTTGGGAATTGGGTTTCACCGGTACCTGTAATTGTTAAACTTCTCAATCACATCTCTATTACTATAAATGATCTGTGGATATCATACTCTACTCTAGAGGTTTGCTCTCTATTTGTCTCTTCAACTCTTGTTCTGATACTTGAAGAATTTTCATGGATTTTTGTCTAACGAATCTATTGCTCTCTTTTACCTGTAGCCAATTGGTAGAGCCAATGATTATACGCAACTAGCTGCGTTTAATAACCTGGAGTATTTGAAGTTGGAGGTAGAATCTTTTGCAGCATCTCATTACTGGTCCGTTGTGCATCACTTACTCCAACTTTCGCGCAATTTAAAACTACTAGTCCTTACAGCAAAGGTTTGTGTCGGATTCTAATAGCTTGATGAGCTTTGTATGTAAGTGCTTGAAAGTCGAAACACAACATCTGATGGGTTTGGTTTTTCCTCTTTGTCACCATTTGTTAGGGATTTGCAAGCTTTGCTGAGTGGCATCAACCTGACGATGTTGCCGAGTGTTTGTCGTCAAATCTTGTGACCCTTAAAGTACAAGGAATTGATGGTGAGGATGGGGTGATGGAACTGATAGAGTACTACTTGAGGAATGCAATGGTGTTGAACCAGGTGTATATTTCTTCCCGTGTTTTACCAGAAGTGGGAAACGATCAAATCCAAGAGAGATTGTCAGCGTTTGCTTGGGGTTCGAGCACTTGTCAACTTACAATTTCTTGACATTGTGTTGCTGCTATTTCTTCAGCAAAGACAGATTCTGTTGGTTCAGTATCGGGTTGTTCTCTGTTTGTATGGTGTTTGAATTCCTGTTTTGAGTCTAAGGAATTGACTCTTTTATGTCTTGTTTTAGTTGGGTCTTCTCGTTTTGGTTGTGTTTTTATGAAGCATTTTGGTAACATACATATATTCTTTCCTTCAAATGAGATTTCTATCATCTTTGGCTGAGCAAAAGGGCAAAAGGAAGAAAAAAATTGACCCACAAATAATGGCATGAAATTCCAAGAGTTGATATCATGTTGCTCATTCTACCTAAAGAGTTGTAATGCAAACTACTACTTAACCAGCACATTTGGAGATGTAAACTCTCAACACAGCATTACTACTATTGATCAGCTCAAAGACACACAAGTCAGGATTTTAACTTCACATGCCACGATCTTCCTGCAACTTGAAGGATTACCATACGAGTTCCTGGCATATATCTCTTGGCAAACCCAAATGGCAAAAGCTGCATGATATGAATATCTGATTAGTATCAACATATTAAATTCACTCATTGATGGCTATGATCATAGAAGGGAAAATAATAATGAAAAATCATGCATAGATGTCCTTTTCTGAACAGCATAGATGCTGAACTTTGCATCTACATTATCAGAACATGTATAATAAAAAAAGGATAATCATACCAAACAGTGATTTTTCAAGTAACATGATCTCACAAGAACTTTGAAATTTGGATTCTTTGGTTCAAGGACACCAGGAATTCGTAGAGATGAACCTGATGTCTCACTTTGTTAAGATTGACTGCACAAAATTATTACGTAAAAGAGTTATCACTGTTTTCTAACATATCTGCAGGATTTAGGGTAGTTTAACTTTTAATTTACCTTGGGGTTTTTCAGATTTTTGAGCTGCAAGTTTGTTGTGAGGGCTGGAAAAAGCACCTGCATAAATACTAGGGTTAATGTAGTCACTAAACTATTTAAAAAGTATCCTGTCATCGCTTGGGACCATGAGAAATATTGGGCTTGGGATTTCACTTCCATATTTTTTAACAAACTGTGCTGGAATTTTCTGCTAGAAACCTTTAATTTAACACATATGGTAGAGGGTTGAATGAAAGCAGTAAGTAACTAGGCAGTTAAAATGAACATCCAGCCATTGTTTTCTAATATATGGCAGCTAAAAAGGGAATCAAACAACTTTGTGGAGTAAGGAGGTAAAATGTTGGGCAGATTATTGTTCTGTCAAAGCCTACAGACACCAATTATCAACCACAAAGCCTGTTGGAATTCCATCAAACAGGATGAAATTTCAATTGCAAATCAGGCAGATGTGCAGAATTTATAGGATCCTAATCAAAAGCTTATGATCATTATTTCTTGCATTAGCCAATCAAACCAAAGAGTTTGTTCCGTCAAAACCTACAGACACCACTTATCAACCACAAAGGCTGTTGGACTTCCATCAAACAGGATGAAATTTCCATTGCAAATCAGGCAAATATACAGAGAATTTAAAGGACCCTAATCAAAAGCTTATGATCATTACTACAGACAACTTCAAAACAAAGAGTTTCTTTGGAAAGTGAAAATAACAGTGTTAAAAGGCCAGGAACAAGAAAATAACAGATAGGAATCTTCTACATTAAGAAAAAGATATTCCTGGGATACAGCAGACTTTAAAATCACATTCAAATTTATAATGCAGAAAAGATTACTCACCAGTTTTCCATGCTCAATAGCATCCCTGGGAAGTACCTTGAAAAAATGGGGGTTTTTGGACTTAAAGTTGAGGCTGCCATGATCTCTCTGGCCAGTGTAGGAAGCCATGGCTTTAGCTTTTGCATACTACTTCTCTATTAAAGCCGAAGCTTAGATTGTTAATCTATATTTTAATTTGAGAAAAAAATTATTAATTCCTTTGCAGACCACTTCTCCA